CTGTGGCATCAGTGGAGTCAGAAGAACAAAGAACTACATCGACCTAAAGGAGATGAGATAGAAATAGACATCAGTCGAAAACAAACAGACTTGAAGAAAATCCGGAAACAGCAGCATGAATCTGACATCAGTGGTTTCATGAAGCTCTTTATTAATGAAATTTACTCAAATGCTGTGACTAAAAATATATATTTTCTGAAATGGCTTGAAATATACTTGGATGAATATATCTCTGCTGACTTGTCTGCTATACATAACAAATATGATGAAAAGTGGTCAACGGTTGTAAGATTGAAAGAGAATTATGATCAATCTGAGCAACTGACAACTGTACAAACTGAACTTGAGGGAATATCAGAGGAACTTCAAGATGCAGCCTTTGGTTTGGAGCACATCATGAGGGAGATCGGTCAGATCTATGAATCATGTTCATCTGTGAGGAAAATTAAGAAAGACCTGCAGGTTCACTTCTCTTCTCTCCCGAGTCTTGCAGCAGAGATGATGATCTCTGGATTTCCACTGGAGCTGATGGATGGAGATGCTGCTCATGTTCCTGTGATCTGGATCTCTGCTGTTCTAGATCAACTCGTCCAGAAACTGGGAGACCAGAGAGTCTTTGTGCTGTCAGTTTTAGGGATCCAGAGCTCTGGGAAATCCACTATGCTGAATGCTATGTTTGGACTGCAGTTTGCCGTCAGTGCCGGCAGGTGCACCAGAGGAGCTTTCATGCAGCTGATCAGAGTCTCAGACGAGATGAAAACACAGATGAACTTTGACTATATTCTGGTTGTTGATACTGAGGGTCTTCGTGCTCTAGAACTGGCCGGAAGATCAACAAGTCATCATGACAATGAATTGGCCACATTTGTTGTAGGTCTTGCAAATCTGACCTTGATCAACATCTTTGGAGAAAACCCAACTGAAATGCAGGAGATTCTTCAGATTGTTGTTCAGGCCTTCATGAGGATGAAGAAGGTCAGACTGAATCCCAGCTGTGTGTTTGTGCATCAGAACGTTTCAGACATCACAGCTGGAGAGAAAAGTAAGGAGGGAAGGAGACGACTGCAGAAGAATCTGGATGAGATGACAAAACTCGCTGCTAAAGAGGAAGTTTATGATGCAGAATATTTCAGTGATGTCATTGCATTTGATGCTCGGAATGATGTGAAGTACTTTGCTCATATCTGGGAGGGCAGCCCACCCATGGCACCATCAAACCCAAAATACTGTGAGAATATTCAAGAACTAAAGGAAACTATTATGTCTCATGCAGCAAAATCAGATAAAATGATGTTGGCACATTTAAAATTTTCTGTTAAAGATCTCTGGGAGGCTTTATTGAAGGAGCGATTTGTCTTCAGCTTCAGAAATTCTCTGGAGATTTCAGCCTACAGGAAA